AACCGTTCGTCTACAGGTCAAGCGATATCCTCGCACTATAAAAAACTCCCTGAGGAAGAAGGACGAGCGACGCAAACATGGCCGCGAAGAAAAGAAGCTGAAGAAAGAGGAAGACAAGAAGAGGAAAGAGGAAGAACTCAAGCGTTTAAAAACGCTGAAGAGGAAGGAAATTTTAGAAAAGCTGGAAACACTTAAAGAGGTTGTCGGGAATGCTGAGCTGCCTTTCGAGGTATGGACGCGCCATTACATCTTTTTAGTTTAAGAAAGAAGAGAAGCTAGTGCTTATCTGAGGCTTATCTTGTTAACATGAAACCTGTTAACGTAATATTCCGCATCTGAAGATCTTGAAGCAAGCATCAGAAATGATGACATAAGCTCATTTATAACTATTGTTGCACTTTTTAAGCGGAAAAGACTGCTATAGACGGTACATTTTCTTTGGTTAGTAAAGACGCCCCTCAATACGCCATTGCTTGATAACGTCATCGTACCTTGCACAACATTGACTTGGAACCAATTGACGACCGTTATATTTGGAAATCGTGCTCGCGGACGCCGGACATGAAGGACTCGATAATTATATTTTGCTCTGCCTCGATCGCCGCTTGGCTAATGGAGAAGCAGGATTTGAAGGACGTTGTCACAGGGTCAAAGATGCATGGATGACCTTGAAATAGGTTACCAGAAGTATTCTGCACATCTTTTCTGGTGTGTAATTCAGAAATTAGAGGGGTTTAGGTCTTACGTAAGGCAAGGCTGCGTTTTGCATTGAATGATCTTTAAGATGGCTATTTCTATCCAAAACCCCATACAAATAACGAAGTCTCTTTTTATTCGACGCTTGCTCCGTGTCGGCGTCAGTGTTGACGGGTCGATGCATGCGGTTATGAATGTCTGTATTGTCGGATGTGTGCCGTAATTGATACGCACAGGCGGATATTGTGAGTTATTGGGTGTTAAAGGCGCGTCGTCTGCGTTGGTTATTTGAACCTTGTTGTGACTTACGCGTCTTAATAAGTGAGCATAACACCGAGTTTCCACCACAGGCAAACGACCTGGATACCGACTTTGATCCTGATAGCCATGACAAAAAGATGCAAGCGATGTTTGGGGAGGATTACTACTACGGCGCAGAAAACGACGAGGAAAAGCCAGTCTTTGACGACGACGGTAACCGTACGATGGTTCCCGGTGCTCTCAAACATTAGCCGTCGCAGGCGAAATTGAAGTTGAAGCTTTACCAGGACGGCGTCTGTTCGCGACGGATGTGTTCTGCGTAGCCATTTGCATCTGCGTAGCCATTTGCACGAACCCTGCCTGCTTTGGTGTGATGCAACGGTGCCAGTCTTCGTGTCGCATTGAAATGTCGAGGCTGTTTATAAGCGTCAGATATCGAGCTGATGGCTAGAAGAGTGAGCTGCTCCTCTGCTCTGCTAACGGGCTGCCGTGTCCGTCAGAGGACTGGGACAACTGGGATCCGGCCACCGAGGACGCTGGAGAGCCGGCCGCTCCTACCCACCAAGACACGGCCGCGCCTGCCTGCGAGCAGCCCGGCTTTGTGGTGAGGCCCCGGCACCGCGCCTGGTCACTGGCTGTTACACATGTGGTGCTGCGGTGTGCCTCTGGACTGTAGGATGCAGCCTCGTGGATATTGATGCATGTGTCGGGTCTTATTTGGGGGGGGGGGGGGGGGGGAGGGGGAGGGAGGCTGGACGGGTATCTGTGGAAGCCATGCTTTAAAAAATTAAATTGCGTAGTGCATTGGATCATAAAGAAAAGTCAAAACTATGAGGCTGCTCGCTTTTTTACACATGTGACTAGTTGAGCCATGTATGCGGCTTTCGTTAAGAGACCAGTTCTGAGTTGATTGATCAGACTCCCCACATTCAAGCGGCTGTCGCTGGCACAATGCGCTGCGGGTCGGCCGGACACCAGTGAACTCTTTTGACCGCGTGTCGCGGATGCCACCAGATGGACTGTGAGTACGACGGTCGGGCTGCCACGCAGCGCCAGCTGCTGGAGGCGACGGGACGCGGCCGGAAGAAGCGGCGCGGCAAGCTGGCTGAGATGCTGCGCCGCCCCAAGCCGCGCTTCCAACCGGGAGGCGACCAGGCGCTGGCCGAGTACATTGACCAGTACTACCGGCTGGATGAGGCGCTCAACCCGCATCCGTTCCAATACCGCCAGGTTACAGCCAATGACTTCGGCCTGGACGCCACTGAGGTCAGTGTCTGGGGTGGGGGGTGGGAGGGGGGGGGGGTGGGCATGGCAGGGGTGTGGGGGGCGCGCTGCTCTTATGGATTTGGGCCGCCGCCGAGTGGGTAACATACCAAAATGACTTCGGCCCTGGACGCCACTGAGGTCAGTTGTCTGGGGTGGGGGGGGGAGGGGGGGTGGGGGGGGGCATGGAGGGGGGGGGCGCTACTGCCTTATGGATTTGTGTGGGCGCCGCCGAGTGGGGTAATACCAGGCGGCGAGTGCCCTCGAAGGCAGAGAAGAGGGGATTATAATGGGTACTTGAATATTCCTTACACTTTGTCTGTGGGTAAGGGCGAGTAAAGGCTTTTGCCCCGAGCATAGATTAACTGTGACTTAAAAGAGCCAGTGGCGGGTATGCTGGGCCTCATTTGGTGGAAATTGCTACGTCCTTTCCGTGGGACTTGGTGGTTGCCCTTCACTGTATGCATGGAACGTGTAGACGAATGGTGCCTGTATCTGTCCCGATTCTGACTGGCGGACGAGAAAGACCTGAACCGGTGGGTATCAGTGAAGAGGATGTCCCAGTACCGACGTGATTAGGAGGAACTGCTAGACGTCAAGAAGTACATAAGCGAAGGCCTCGAATCTCGCCTTACAAGCAAAGATACTGCAGAGTCTGTTCAGAAAGTAAGAGAAGTTTGTTCTGTGTGGTTATTGTTTATAGTACTTGACATTATCTCTCGTATTTTTGGGGTGAAATTGCGATTTGGCCTCTTCATAATCGGCCAACAATCGGTATCCATAATTGCGTTCCCGAACGTGTTCGAAAGCTCTTCGTGCTCAGTGATTGGCTTGCCCACATTGAAGAAATTGCTGCTTGCATTGCTGCCTGTTAATGTAAGTTAGCCAATTATTTCTTGGATTTGCAGGTTTTTAGAGATGATCATTTTCACCAGCGCCGCTGATTCTGTTATTGTTATCACTGATTCCTTCCAGCTTACCAGATGAGGGAATGGCAAACTGACGAACTTGGGCAACTTTGCGAATGGCTCGCGTTGCAGCTAACAGCTTTTGTGTTGTCTCAGGGATGGCGAACCTGAAGAAGACCCGGAAACATATGAGCCGCAAAAGAAAAAGAGAAAAAGCGAAAGAAGAAGGAGAAGGAGATGGCAGATGAATCAAACCAACACGAGCGACTGGAGCTGCATAGAGTGGCTACGGCCGCCGACGGTTCCACTGCATCTGATGACAGATGTGCGGAAGATCCCGGTCAGCAACCGGATGCGCAGGAATCACGAAAGCGGAAAAAAGAAGAGTAGAAAGAAGGAAAAGGATGAAGAAGCTGCCTCCCAGCAGGAAATATTGCCGGGCCTTTCAACAGGGAATGGAAACGACGTGGGAGAGAACACAGATGTTGCAAGGAAAAGGTTCGAAGAAACGCGAAAGGAGATCTTCGGAGGCCTTAGTGTTAGCCGGTAGTACCGAGGAGCTCGACGAAGAGCAAGCGCCAAAGAAGAAAAAGAGATCGCATAAGCACGCGTGTGAGGATACACCTAGTCTCCCCTGCGGCTGCCTGTGAGAATGGCTCACACGCAAGTCCGGCGCGGTAAACGAAAACGTAAGAAAGGCGACGGTTGTGCTGGTGACGGAGTAGCACCAGAAGCCGTGTCTGATGAACCGGAACTCAGGCAAACGTGGCGAGAAGCCCTTGAAAAAGAAGCATGGTGCTGTGGGGGCGCCCGCAGAAGGGGCCGACAGGACAAAGCACAAGCTGGGCGGACAGCGGAAATGGAAACAGCGACCGAAGGAGGGCACTCAGGCTGCCATGGTACTGTCGATGTCGGACGCCAGGCTCGAGGCGTTCGGCCTCAACCCCAAGAAAATCCGGGCAAGGTGCTGTACGGCGCCAGCGCGGTCGTAGCGCCGGTGATGCGTGCGTCGATGGCAGTGGTGGTCCCTGATTACGGTACGTGTTGTATCGTTATGCGACCGTTTTGTTTGCGACTGTGCGGATGCCGTCATGGTATTGGGATATTTGATGACGATGATGATGATGGTCGATGTATTGATGGATGATGGTTGATGGTGCTACCGTGAGGTGATGATGTATTGACTTGCGACCGGGGTAAATAAAGTGTTCCCATCATGATGGTACAAAATGATGGAATTTTATTTTACGGGCGCCTGTAGCACAGCATTGGACACCTTGAAGCAATAAGCACAAACGCGACGACACAGAAAGTGAATCTTTACGTGATGGCTTGTTTAGGGACGCGATTTTTTGTGGGCTTCTTCCATGCAACGCCACGGGATGCGCACTGAACTCCGTGCCGAAGATCGAATAGGAGAAAGAATACTGCCGCTGTAACCCCCTGCATCGTCCCTGACTGCCCTCGCCAACTCAAAGTTCTTCCCTCGTAAGTCAGTGGATCCCCAGAAAAATTGCACCAAATTCGCGCTTTATTCCGTTTCTTGCCAAGTCACGTCCGAATGCTATTTTTTAAGGGGTTTGGGTTGACTGCCTGCTCTACCCCCACCTTCGCCATGCGGCCACTTATCCAGTGCTTTACAGCACGAACATTACCATCCTGTTCCTCGGGAGCACCGTGCGGCGTGCGTGGTTTGTCACCTTGCGTTCGAAGGATTGCATTTTTAGGAGTTGCTAGCATGTGCACGTCCACTGACGTTAAGCCGCATGTTTAGCTTTGCGGCGACCTGATTGTCATGTCCCTCAATTGGGGTCCGCACCCGGCAGAGTGGTGGGTTTCTAACTCGATGCAAACAACGCTTGCAATGCAATCAGTAACCTAAAGGGATTTATGCGGAAACAAGCGTTATGTTAAGAAAGTGATAGTGTTCCTTCATTATCCAGGTTCGAAATTGTAATAACAGGGGGGGCCTGCCGTGGGTCCGTATTGTTAATCGCTATGTTGTATTTTCCTGTTTGGTAGCGGCTCTGCCATATGGCCCCGCCGTCCAGAAGTGTCACCGTAGCACTCACTTATAGTACCTCAACTCGCCATGAGATGGCAGTGGCGATGCTGGCCGTGATCGCTTAGCCAAACGTCATTTGCGCTCGTGTATTGGCCCATCTTTGAGTCATGAATTGTATCACATTTTTCGTAAATTTCACAAGCCGATCATTTCTAACAATCTTGTGTCGGCGGGTCACTTGGCCCGAACGAAAATGGTAAGATGAGACAGCATACCGCAAACCAATGAACAGGCCTAATTAACAAAGTGGCCCGTTGTTGCGCTAGACACGTCAGGGCGTCTAGCTCCACAAGACGTCAAGATACCGGTGACGTACCCTCACGAATTGGAAATCATGGATCCGCCCCCGGATCATGCAGTTATTCTGCTAAAAACGTCTCAATTACGCAATCTACATGTGGTGCGAGAGCTGCCCGACCATGGACGTAGGATACGGGTAGCATAATGGATAAGATGCGCGTCTGGGAAACCGGAGGTGTGGGGTTGGATTTCCCGCGCAACCTACCTTCCCTACCAGAGTGACAGGCAGGCGGCGCCATGTTGCAGCAGCAACCAAGCGCGTCGCGGCGACAGCGACGGCGACGACCGGCAACATGCGTTGGCCGTTGCAAGGCGCTGCCGTTTGACAACAGGTTGCCGCATTTGCGGCGCTGCCTTTTGACAACAGGTTGCCGCATTTGCGGCGCCTCCCGGCCAATCAATTAGCTCTGGGAGTGACGTCACAGGCAAACCAAGTAGCTAGGCCATAGGTTGATTAGGCTTAGTGATTGCAGTTGCCGTTGAACAGTGGTGCCTTGGCATAGACCGAGGGCACGCGGAGATCAGGATCTGACCCGCTCATAAAGCGCCAGTTGGCAAATATCCTAGCATTGCCATGAAACCATGACTTTTTTGTCATTAAGCAAAGCCTTCACCTCTGGTTATTTGGCAATTTGAATGATAATACGGCTTATACGTCGATGGCACATTGATCGTGGCATTTGGTCAGCACTGGCGATGGCACACACTAAGAGCGCCGCGAGTCGTTCGGTATGAGGTCATGTATGGCGAGTCTGCAAGTGACTGGAATGCAAATAAGAAAAACTTATTTATTTTGCACTTTAAAAGCGGCACTTGGAAACCCAACCACAACCGCAGTAACTCCGCACGTGCACGATCCATTGAACTGCATGCACTGGTCCCCGAACAACCCAGTCATAAAACAGCTGCCATGACAGCTTTCACTGTGGCTCTCAAGAGCTGGCTTGGCTGGTGTGTCATGACCGCAGCACTGTCTGCCAAGAGACGTCAGGCTCGGTCGTCAGCTGGCGTTCCCTCCAAACTTGAGTCCGCCGCGCACGGTTGTGGACGGAAAAGAAGAAGGCAGTCAGCAGCGCGTGGCGAGATGCGCCGGAGCTTTCTCGTTCCGTCAAACGCAGCATGCGTGAGCACTGTACGCTTCTCAGAATCAATATCAGTGTTCATGCTCCTCAGTATCAGTTCGTCCACCTAGGGACCCCCGACACGGGAGCGAGTGCGGAGTCAGCCAGCGCTGTCACGACCTAGCCAGGGCCGGCTGGCGACACCTGAAGTCTCCACCGTCGTGGCGTCGGGGCTGTTCCTCCGCGGCACCACGGGCCCGCCGGTGTGACGTCACTCCAGCACAGACTCGATCTTGTCCGTGCCGCGGACGGCCGGCTCCTCGGGTCCCTCGTCCACGGGCAGCGCCTGGTGTACAAACGCGTTGCGCCCCGTCTTGAAGTCCTCGACCGTGTCGCCGGAGCCGTGCAGCACCCACTTGGTGGTGAGCAGGCCTTCGACGCCGACCGGACCGCGCGCGTGGATGCGGCCCGTGCTGATGCCCACCTCGGCGCCCAGGCCGAACCGGTAGCCGTCGGCGAAGCGCGTGCTGGCGTTGTGGAAGACGCAGGCGCTGTCGACGCCGTCCAGAAAGCGGGCCGCCTCGGCGGCGTTCTCGGTCACGATCGAGTCGGTGTGGCCCGAGCCGTGCTCGTGGATGTGCTCGATGGCGGCGGCCGTGTCGTCCACCAGCTCGATGCAGCACTCGAGGTCGCCGTACTCGGTGCGTAGGGACGAGGCCAGCGGCGGGCCGAAGGTCAGCAGAGAGTTCAGCCGCGGCCCCGAGCGCAGCTGCACGCCGTTTGACTTGAGCATGTGGCAGATGCCGTCGAAGATGTGCGGCACCTTCATGAGGTCCTCGTGGAGCAACAGTGTCTCCACAGCGTTGCACGCGGCTGGGTAGTCACATTTGCTGTCCTTGACTGCGAATCAGACATACCAAACAGTGTCAAGGCATTGCGAATAGGTCGGCAGCACCAGGCGATGCTATTACAGTTTGTAAATACCGGCTGGCGCGTCGTTCACAAAACGTTTCTGAATACACAAATGACACCAGTGAGCTTACTGCAACATTTTTAGGGACCCATACTCAACGCTTCTCGAGGCTGCTGAACACTGAACAAACACACAACCCGTAGTTAGTCCCTTACCAATCTGTAGCGCTTTTTCCATATCGGCGTCCTTATCGATGTACACGTGGCACACGCCTTCGCTATGACCCAGCACGGGGATGTGGCGGCTCTGGGTCTGGATCTCGCGCACCAGCTCGCCGCTGCCACGCGGGATCACCAGGTCGATGCAGTCGTCCAGCTGCAGCAGGTCACTGATCTCCTCCCGACCACTGACCTGAGGAAGCGGTGTGATCGGGTCATGTGCCCGGGTCCCGTGAAGGCCTCCTTGTCACCGCCTCGTGGGTACGGTGGATGGCGGCGGTAAAATGTGCCGAAGAGAGAATACCATGTTACACCATAATCAGAACATGATAAGAGCAGTGTGCTATTTATACTTCTGCCTGAAGTGACGAGAACCGCTCAAACACTTTGTATTTGTCACTCCCGTGCGCAGTTTGCACGGCAGTCCGTAATTCGGTTTTTGGGGAAGGAAATGCCAGCAGCCGATATCGCACAACTCGCAGCAACCCAAGCAACTTGAATTGGATGGATCTTCCAAAGCGCATGCACAGTTCTGGGAATGGTTCTCACCAGTCCTACGGCGTTCTTGGCTCCGACAGTGGACAACGCCTCCTTAACCAGCTGCATGAGGTATTCGTTGCTGTGCTTGGCCTCGCGTCCACCCTTCAGGAGAAGCCCGTTACCCGTGCTGATGGCCAGAGACGCCACCTGC